AATGAAAGAAAATTTTAGTTTATTTTAATTTTAATAAGTAATCCATTTGCTCGTCCTTCTTTTCTAAAATTGAAAAGAAGGACGAGCATATGATTGAAAGCATTAAAATAGAAGAATGGGATTCGATGAATGTGGATTAATCTCTATCTAATAGAGAAAATAACGTATTATATTATAATGCAGGCTATATATTATCGAACATAGAAAGAACGAGAAAATATATAATGAATGTTTTGAATGCGTATGCTCCAAAGATGCCATTGACGTAAATACAAATTTAACAAAATTTTGTATCTACTGTGAGATACTAAAGTCCTCTAGTTTATGCTGCTAAAAGCACATATCAATTGCTTTTTTACATAGACACAAAATTCAAATCTTTGGAGAATGTTCTTTTGAATAAGAAACAAAGTGGAAAGATATCTTAATTGAAATTATAAATTCTGATTTTGAAATTCAGAAAATTCATTTTAAAGAATGTCACAACATTAAAACAAAAATAATAAATCGTTTTATTACATTTAGACATTAACTTTTTGGTTGAAAAAATAAATAAATGGATATTATTATTAATATTTCTCTTCCCAATAAATGGAAATGAACAGAAAATTGCAGAAAAGAGTGAGCTCTAGAAAGGACAATGTAACACTACTTAGACTATTGAGGATATCATAACCACAATTATGATAAGCTGATGAGGGAATGCAGTTGGATCTAATTATAAGTAAAAGTTGACCCATGCTCTAATGTATACTTAGTTATTTATCCCTTAATGCCTTAAAACATCTGAAATGCAGTTTTACAGACTCTCAGACCTATAATTTTCGTTAAACAATATTTGAGATAATATAATAAACATTTTAAAGCTAATAGGATACAGCGTAAATATGAGAAAATTGTTAAATTTAAAGAAATAGGAACAATTACCAAGTGACATACTTCATAAAACTATATATTTTATCTGAAAATTAATCGTTAATGCATTCGCTCCTCCTGTTCGCTTCTCCGCTTAACTTCATATTCGTACAGAGAAGCTCACAACTTATATTAATTGCAATAAATTTCAAGTTTAAATACATTTTTCTACACTAGTATAAAGATTAACCTCGGATTTTAAGATAGAGACGAGAAATAAACCATTTGTGTATACCTAATATTAGACCCAATATGTCACGGTTGTAATCTATCACCCGTTTGACAAAACTGGAAACAGAATGATAAGAAGGCAAATCGAAATGTTGAAATCACAGAGATATTTATTCCTGTCTTCTGTTTATTAATTTAAATAAGATTTTTGTAAAAGTTTTCTACAGTTGAGTCTCTGGTAAGCTGGCTAAAGGTCAGAGACAAGTCACTTCATTAGAGAAAGTGCTTTGTTATTGATGACGTAAAGTGTCAATTTTCTCATTAACAAGAAGTTAGATATTAATTTTGATAAAGATCCAAAGAGTTTATTTATTATTTTAGCATCAATTTTATGGCGTGTATCTTCATCACTTTCTAACAAAATAAACATCATTTACTAATCTATAATTATCCATTTACACTAAAAAATAGAAAAAAAAAACAGAGTGATTAATATAATCGTTAACGTTAATTCAATTTTTATCTAATCCTACCTTGTTTTTATAAAATTTTCTGTATTTGATAACGTTGATACGTCGCTTAATTATATTAAAATTTATATAAAAATAGAAATATCCAAAGAAAAATTCCCAAATTTTATAAAAAAATAACTAAGTAATAATTTAAAAAATAAATTTTATATAAATGTAAAATATATACGTTTACTTATCTAACAAAAAAGCCTTATTTGGACTGCAATTTGAAAAATTGTAGACCTATAAATTTCCACTGTCGTCCGTCTGTCTATCTGACCTTCCTTAGTCTTAAGAACGGCGTTAGATAACCGAAAGTCAAAACTAGATATAAAATTCATAGGGTTAGAGGACCGATTAACTTTATAAGAACTTCCTGTTTAGATAGGAGGTCGCGTGAATTCGATTCAAAACTTTTTCCCCGATTGGTTAGTTACGTATGTAACTGGCACGATTCTGTTGTTATCAGGAAATGTATGATATACAGGGGCAAGAAACTACTAATTTTAAATGAAGAACATATATTTTAAATTGAATAAATAAAGAATATGATTAAAATTGCAGCCTGGCTTGTGACGAAGTCACAATAAATAATTGTCCCTTTTCAATTATTTTATTTTTAATTTTTATGAATTTCCGATAATTTCTTTTAACTTTTTTATTTAACGGTAATACTATTGTATATTAAATTTTGGTTAGGAGAACTGATGCCATTTCTTTTGAATAAAATGGCTAAAGCTACGATCGATTAAATGTCGTCGTCTTAATTACTCATTTTTGCATTCAATTTAACTCTGAAAATATACACGTGGTTATTCAAACCTTTGTCGACAAATTTTCTTTTATATTAATAAATTTTATGTAGTATAATTCAAGTTGTGACTTCGTTACTTTTTATTTTATTTGTAACTTAAATTTTTACAGCAGATACTAGTGTACAAATAGTTTATCTGTATTCTTATTGGGTTTATTTTGTACTTAGTTTAATTAAACCCAGCAGAAATTCGTTTCGAAACAATCCACTAATACATATTTAAAACCCTTTAATTACTAATGATATAAATTTCTTTTTCATTTAATTATTAAGACAGGTGATACCTGTACTAAAAGTTAATCTTGTGTAAAGTTCCATTCAAAATTCTTATAAAATAATTTATTTTATAAATTTTAAAGTAAGTTTTTACAGGTTCGTCTTAAACATTTTTATAGATTTAAATATTATCTTAAAAAATTCCTGTAGAAGTTCTACTTTCTAAGAAAATATTACATATTTCATGTAATAGATTTTGATATATGTTATTTATACTTTTTTTGTTTACTTAATTACCTGTCATTCGAGTTACTTCAATCTTAACAAGTATAAATAATTTTTTTCCCTTAGAAATGTATTGATTACGGTCTCCAACTTCATCATTTTGTACTTAATAATCCATCCCTCCTACAATTTCTCATTAATGGTGTCGAATAATATAATATGACGTACGTTCTTATTGTTCGTATTCTTCGTACAAACAACTTTTAATTAAGCATATTCCGTGACAAAGACGTTACATCACAAGTTGTAAACATCGATTCATAATTTGATCCGTTCTAATCAAACGAATGAGTAAACAATAAAAACATATTATTTTAACTAAAAGCTTTCTATGAGAAAGTAATGAAGTAGTTCGAGTGTATCAAAAGGTAAAGGAGGAAAAAAATATATTCAAGTGATCATGAAGAGAGACATCTTCTTAGCAAAAGATAGGGATGAAAGAGGAGGGATTTAAAAAGCAAATTGGATACAGAGAAAAGGATATTTGGCAAAAGATAATGATGAAGAAAGAGATGAATGAGGAGGAAGTGAAAGTGGCTTTATCAAATTGACTCGACAGCAGAAATCTGGAAACAAATATTAAGAGTGAATCGATGAATTGATTTCTAAAAAGTCATTAATATATTATTCCTTTTTTAATATTTAGTACAAGGAATATATTAAACATACTCTATTCGTAGACATCTTTATCAAGCATCCAATTCAAGTTATTACACAAAGATAATTTATTACGAGCAACACCTTCTCATCTAAAGTTATAATATAATCGGTTATAAGGGATATTTAAAGTTCTTTACGACAGTTTAAAGACATTTATTGAGACTCGAGTGAATCTCAGATCCATGAAAAATGCCTTATCTCTTACGTAATTGTTATTTTTACTAAGTATGCGGTGTATAAAAGTTATACACCGCATACTTAGAATAAAGAGTAAAATCAATTAAATAAAAGCTATTTTAGCAATAAAATTTACCAATAAAATCAAAAGTTAATTAGATTTAATGATAAATAAATCAAAATCGGAATAAAATTAATTAAAATGGTGATTATTTTATTTTCTGTAAGAAAAATAACGTATAAACATCATTTTTACTAGTTTTTAAGTAATAAAAATGATCTTTTCTATTCTTATTATAAAATAGTAAAAACCAATGGCGAACGAAAACATAAAAAAAACATGGCAATATATTTGTTTAATATAAATAAAAAATGAAAATTTATATACTTTCAATTTTATAATTTTTAAATTTCAATATTTTTTTTATCGATTAAAAATTAATTAAACAAAAATTCAGCAACGAGTTGCTTAACTTTCACGGCAACATTTGGTGGCGCCATCTGATATGAATTTTATTTTAAAATTTTTATATTTTTAACTATTATAAAATGGTAAAAAGCTTAATTTTCAGGGTATGAATGAGTTTTATAAAAAATTATAAATGCTAATAAACAGTAAAATCGTCTTCGAGTCCGACCCTACTAGAGACACACACGATCCCTTTATCTCTCCACTCTCTCGACCTTTAACCAGCAGAATTTAATAGTATCAATTCCCCTAATAAACAAACTACCTTGCAAAATTTCAAAAATTTTCGACAAAATACACAGGAGTTATTAAGCTTCAAAGAGGATGAACAAAATTTCCCCCCCCCACACAGACAAATATCCATATATACATAAAATACCCCAGATTTTTTGAATTTCTTGACGTTCAAAAATCCTGGGGATCATTACATGACCAATGGCCATACTTTCCCTCTGTTACGTATAACAACCGGAAAAGTAATAAATTATAACAAAGCCACACCCCTTCAGCTGGCGAAACAAATAGACCGTACCGCCATCTTTCGTTTAAAAAATAAATTTCCCTTTATTTTAAAACTTTGTTCTTAAAATTATTAATTAATTATAGTTAATTATAATAATGTTATTTTTAATTTTTTTTTATTTTTATTTTTACAACATAAACCCCTTAACTATTCACCCGAAATATATATCTTTTAAATAAGTATTTTAAAAAATCATTCATTAATTTTAAAGTAATAATTATATTATATTTAAAAAAACACGTGATAATTTATATTTAGAAAGCGTACTGGCCAAAGGGTAAGTGTTGTAAACGTCATCGACCTTATCGAGATCTGTCGAAGTTGTAAGGAGAGTGGTAGGGTGGAAACAAGGTTGGTTAATTTTATAACTCGCCCTTTATATTTACTCTATATTAATAATAGTATATATCAATATTTCCTAATTTTAATATATACTGTATGTATACATTAATGTTAACAATTCAAAGTAAGTTTTAAGTAATTTATTAAAATGTTTTCAAATATAATAAGAATTATTTGTTTTTCTAATTTAAATAAGTTAAAGAATTTTTATTTATTTTAACGAGCATCTACCTCTGTACCTTAAACTTTATCTACCTTAAATACTATAAAATTGATACTGTAGATGCAACCTGTACATACAAACGAGGAAACATTTCTCGTTGTTAAGATAAACAAAAAATGCTAATCAATTACGTATTTAATTCGTAAATTTTATAAAATTTTTACGTATATTTATATAGAAATACAGCTTTTAATATTTAAATACTTTGCTGTTACCTTAAAATTTTGCTTGTTAATTTATAATTACTGTCCTAAAAAGTTGTCTAAAATATTGTAAACTATACTTTTTTCAATTTTTATTAGTATTAAACTATTTATATTACTTTCTTGTATTATTAATCACATTTACGGTGTTATGTAATTATTTGTTACTTACTACATAATTTTATTATGTAATTATTCCTATTACATTACGTGTAACTGCAATATAAGGAAATTGAAATACATTCCTTTTGTCTAAATATATAACGTATGCTATCTTATACTGTATATTTACACATACATAATGACTAGTGAATTACACTTCTGAGAAACATTTATAGATAATATAAACTATATAAAGACTTTTAATATGATTTCCCATTGGTTAACATCGACACATGAGAATTGTCTAGTTTTACAGTTATGTGAAATTGCAAATTGTATATATATATATATATATATGTGTGTGTAAAAAACGACTGTTCAAATAAACAGTCACATAGTAACGATCATTCCGCACCAGGATGTAAGGCGGCATCTAGTCAAGGTCACCTACAGACCAAGGATACCTGTCTAAAGGTAGCATTTGTGGCGGGAAGGCACACGACACGCAACTTTAATAAAATAGTTTTGATTCCGCACCCCGATATTATATGCTACCAGTACTGTTTCACACATACGAAGCTCTAATCGCTTCCAACTTTTCTTTATAAGCTTTTAGGACGACAACTAGAAGTGCTTGCAAAGCTGATAATACAACGATTTATAATCACACTCAGCAGTACAATAGTACAATCCGTTTCGCAAATATTGGGTGGGACAGGCCACGACAGATTTTCGAAGAAGGTCTGAAAATATTTAAAAAAATAGCATTTGCAACTTTAGAGATTAATGAATTTAAAAAAGAGTTTTTAAAATTTTTATGTATCTGTCATAGAACAGCCAGGTGTACAGTACCTACAGTACGTTGGAGCAGAAACGGAACCGCACAACATCGGCACATTTTAATAAATATATAAGCAGAAGTGCCATTTTATATGATATATGTATATATCAGAAATATTGTATATATGAATAGAGAGGATATATCCTAGAAGCATGTATAGAAAAGTTAAGTTTCTGTATATTCTCTATACACTTCGTAACAGAAACATAAATGGCGCGTGTCCAATAGATAAACTATATTATTAATTTAACCTTTTAACCTTTAATGTATAAAATTTACAAATAAACGTACTGAATTCTAAACAGTTTGGACCAAGAGACAGCCTACTTAATCTATACATAGCAGGCATTTTTACTATGAAAAATTAAATATTCAGCACTACAAAATATAGTTTGTTGTACGTACAAATTATATTCTGCTTGTAAAATACGATATTGAACTTAAATTTTTAATATATAATTTTATATTTATATTGTTATTACTTAATTCTGTCTGAAATTATAATCTAATATAATTTTAGATATAAGTGTTTAGAAATAATCTTTCACAATTCTATCTTCGGTTATTTATCGCTCTATCGTCTCCAGTTCAAATTCCACAATATAACTCAACTTTATCAATAGAAATTGGATAAGTGGTCGAGTATTAAATTCATTACTAAACTTATCGAATTGTAAATGTATTATATGTAGTTATTTATAATATTTCTTGGATAATTATTTTAATTTCTTAATTTAAACAAAGCTAAATGTCGTTCCTATTCAAATTATTCGCCATCTTGGGGATAGTCTTTGCCTACTTCGCCTACTCTCCTCATCTTTTAGACTTTCATCCTAAACCTTTCACGTGAGTATCCGATGTTAAATGGTTCCTCGTAATACGTATCGAATGTCACATTTCACCCTTTTCTCCTTACAGAGTTCGGCAATGGAGCGAATTAACGGGTCCTCTTACCGTCAATAATCGCTTAAATGAAGGTGAAAGGTTATTCGAAGGCGCCATTGAGGCTCCCGAATCTCTCGCCGTTTATCAAGGTATATTCGTGTTTAAATTAAAAATAAATTTATATTTAAGTAATGATAGGATTATTGTATAAAAAGTTCAATTTTTATCATAATTTTACATGTATAATTTTTTTTTTCATTTTTTAGGAGAAATTTATACGGGAACACGGGATGGATGCATAACAAAAATATCTGGAAAAAATTTCAATTGTGCAGTCAACTTAAATAAACTTTGTGGTAAGAAAAATAATTATTAATATTTTTTAAAAATCACAGTTAAAATCTTTTAAATTAATTTTTAAATTTTTATAAAATGTATATATAAATAATTGCTGCAAAACGCTTTCTGTAAGTGAACACAAAACATATCTTCCTTCTTGAGTGTATACACGGGTGATCTAATGGTCAGTTTAGCGTCATAAAGACTAAACCACCATCCCATTTGTGTACCCTATTAATTAATTTGTAAAAATTCTTGTTTAATACGAAAGAAATCTAGCAACGAGTGACGTAACTTCCCGACCAAAACATTTAAAATTGTGTGTGATGTCATCTGTCACGATATGTTATTTTTAAAATGTTTATGTTATTAATTATTTTAAAATGTCAAAGAGCTTAATTTTGAGGTTAGAGACGAGTTTTATAAAATTGTAAATGCTTGTAACGAGTAAAATCATTAAGTCCGACCCACACACGAGATACGGTAATTTACCCCTACCTATCTCCCCACCCCTCGACACTTATCCTCTAAAATGTACTAGCATCAATACTCTTAATACACAATCTATTTGCAAAATTTCAGGAATTTTCGACAAAAGGCACCGGAGTAATAAGAATGTTCTAGCTTACAGTAATGCATATAATAAGAAATAAATACACTGTTTAAAATATATGCATAATACTTATACCGGTATTTCAAATATTATAATTATTAGTATATATAAGTAATATATATACTAATATTTATATATAAATATATAAGTGTTATAGATGTATGATATATATAGGCCTATATTTTTTAAATAGTGTATTAATTCATTATGTACATTACTTTAAGCTAGGACACTCACATATATCTGTATATAGCCTGATTGGTACGAAGGTCACGATATGGTGATAAATTGACACCCTTATCATATCTTAACCGTAGATTATATCTGAATTTAATCAAAATCTACTTATTATATAAGAATATCAGTAAGTTATATAAATCACGTTCTAATTAATATCTATCAATATATGAAGAAATATTAATAAATAGGATGCCGTTATCACCATTGTAACTTTTTTTTAATTTTAAATTTTCGCTGGAGGATGAAGTTTTCTTTAAAAAATAAGAAAGACGTAGTCGTTTCCAAAAACTTTGGTGATCATCATATTTCTTTTAAATGTTCCTTAGTAAAAACTTCAGACGACCAGACCTTTTTTTAGGCTATTTTTTGGAAACGACTACGTCTTTTTTATTTTTACCATTGTAATTCTTGAAATTGCATTTTATTTTCTTATATAAACAATGAAAACTGCTATATTCATGAATCTAAATTGCTGGAGTCTTATATAAATTTATAAATGTTTTATTTGTCTCTGTAAGGATCGTATAATTAACTAGTCGATAACTACATTTAGTTGAACTGTACTACATTTTTTACTAATTTTATAAATTCTACATTAGAACTGTATTAAAATTTCCTGAAATTTTCTTCTTATTGAAGGATAACAGCGGTAATCTCGATGTACACTCTTTAGTGGCTCTTGATAATACCCATCGAGCAAGAATGTACATCATCTGTACATAAATAACTTAATGTTATACACAAAAGCATAACTGCTGTATGTTTTTGTGTATAATATTGAATTACTGTACTGATGTACACTCGATCCTTCCTTTCTAGATGGATGAGCCTTTATTCTAAAGTTATCCAATAATACAATTAAAATTCTTCGCTTTATAAATTATAGTCTATAAACCCGACTCCTGAATATTCTTAATTTATTAACTTGCATTCATATAATTAACTGATACATCTACTTGATAATTAATTTATGTTTTCTAACAGAGAAACAGAAAGCAATACCTTGCAGTCGTCCTTTAGGTTTAAGGTTCGATGCCAAAGGTACCTTATTCGTAGCCGATGCTCAGTTAGGACTTCTACAAGTTGATATTAAGAAAGGTATGGAACACTTACATTCCTTATCATTAATATAATATTATTCACATACAACTATTACAATACTGTTGATTTAACTGTATAGGAACAGTCATAACTCTCGTGAGCACTGGCGAAAAGGTAGAAGGAAAGGAAGTAATGATTCCAGATGATGTAGATATGGATGAAAATGGTGTCGTATACTTTAGTGACGTGTCCACTAAATGGAAGTACGATACTATCTTTTATAGCGTTGCGGAACACGAAAATACTGGCAGGTATGATTAAAGTTTTGTTACGGCAATACGTTGTTTACTATTTGATAAGACAGCTTAAAATTTATTCTGTAAATTAACGAAAAGCATATATTTTTTATTTATAACCAATAGTCTATGTAATATGTCCAAACCAATGATATTCTTAATTATTACAGAAAATAAGTATCTACGCTTGTTAATTATTCCTATTTTTAGAATTATACAATACGATCCAAAAGCCAAGAAGGCTTCGGTACTTTTAGACGGTTTATATTTTCCAAATGGGGTGCATGAAGGTGAAAGGTTATTCGAAGGCGTCATTGAGGCTCCCGAATCTCTCGCCGTTTATCAAGGTATATTCGTGTTTAGATTAAAAATAAATTTATATTTAAGTAATGATAGGATTATTGTATAAAAAGTTCAATTTTTATCACAATTTTACCTGCATTTTTCATTTTTTAGGAGAAATTTATACGGGAACACGGGATGGATGCATAACAAAAATATCTGGAAAGAATTTCAATTGTGTAGTCAACTTAAATAAACTTTGTGGTAAGAAAAATAATAATTATTATTTTTTTAAAATCTTTTAAATTAATTTTTAAATTTTTATAAAACGTATATATAAATAATTGCTGCAAAACGCTTTTTTAAGTGAACACAAAACATATCTTCCTTCTTGAGTGTATACACGGGTGATCTAATGGTCAGTTTAGCGTCATAAAGACTAAACTACCATCCCATTCGTGTACCCTATTAATTAATTTGTAAAAATTCTTGTTTAATACGGAAGAAATCTAGCAACGAGTGACGTAACTTTACCGCCCAACACATTTAAAATAGTGTGTGATGTCATCTGTCACGATATGTTATTTTTAAAATGTTTATGTTATTAATTATTTTAAAATGTCAAAGAGCTTAATTTTCAGGTTAGAGACGAGTTTTATAAAATTGTAAATTCTTGTAACGAGTAAAATCATTAAGTCCGACCTACACACGAGATACGGCACTTTACCCCGATCTATCTCCCCACCCCTCGACATTTATCCTCCAAAATGTACTGGCATCAATACTCTTAATACAGAGTCTCCTCGCAAAATTTCAGGAATTTTCGACAAAAGGCACCGGAGTAATAAGAATGTTCTAGCTTACAGTAATGCATATAATAAGAAATAAATACACTGTTTAAAATATATACATAATACATTTATAATATTTTAAATACTGGTATAATTTCTATAAATGTCTGATATATATAATTTAAAAAGTGTATTAATCCATTACATGCATTACTTTAAGCTAGGACACTCATATATTAATATATCTGTATATAGCCTGATTGGTACGAAGGTCACGATATAGTGATAAATTGACACTTTTATCATATCTTAACGGTAGATTATATCTGAATTTAATCAAATCTACTTATTATATAAGAATATCAGTAAGTTATATAAATCACGTTCTAATTTATATCTATCAATATATGAAGAAATATTATAAAATTAGATGCCGTTATCACCATTGTAATTCTTGAAATTGCATTTTATTTTCTTATATAAATCATGAGTCCAAATTCTTTTAAGTTGGAGCTTTTATAGATTTATAAATGTATTTTTCTCTGTAAAGATCGTATAATTAACTACTCAATCACTACTTTTAGTTGCATTGTAGTACGAAACTCAATATCGTGTATAAAGTGTACGGGTGAAAAATAAACACTGTTTGATAAGCTTTCTTAACTTTTGCTAAACGAAGATGTCGATAATATGTCCTGTTAACAAAATAAGTCCGAGTAGACATTTTAAATACTATACTCTATTGTACAGTACATTGTTTACTAATTTTATAAATTCTATATTAAAGTTGGGTGAAAAATTAAATGATCCAATCGCCGCCGAAGTATTTACTCTGGAGTTGCACAATCGCTTCGCCCTTCTTCGAGAGATGACAGATGTAGATCTCTGGAAAACCTGAGACATTACCACGGATTGCACCCAAAACATCATTGGAAGACGTCGAGGAAGACAAAGGATCAGTGGATCCAAGATCACTCGTGGAAGTTGATTGATGAGAGGAAAGACGCAAAACTTAAAAGGGACCAGGCTAAAATAATGGCTGAAATGGAGGAAGAAAGCCAAAGATACACCGAGTTGGATAGACGTGTAAATAAAAGCTATCGGAAAGACAAGAAGGAATCGTTAGAACGAAAGGGAGCTGAAGCATTCAGGCGTCCGACCAGAATGATCCCAAGACCTTGTGCCGCATAGTCAATGAACTGATTGGGATGAGGAGTAACTCCAACGTTCCAATAAAAGAAAAAAAACGGGAAGCTTCTGATCGCTCAAGATGAGCAAAACGAGGTGGATGAAACATTTTCAGAATACATTTAATTAATCGGAACCGACCATCGTTTACGATTTCGTTATTAAGGACACACAGGATGAGCTTTGGGTTCACACTGGTGATATTACCCTTGAGGAAGTGGAGCTTTCGATTAAGAGCCTGAAGAATAGTAAGGCAGCCAGTTTGGACGAAATTTGGACTGAGATTTTGAAGCATGGAGGGCACTTGTGTTGGAAAAGCTAACGTCACTGTTTAACAGGTGCCAGCAATGTGGGGAGTTCCAGAGAATTGGAGAAGGGGCTCTATAGTCAGAATTCCTAAGAGAGGAGATATCTCCGAGTGTACTAACTGGCGAGGTATCACCCTCCTTTCTGTGCCTGGAAAGGCATTTTGTGTGGACCTACTTCGACGCCTGCGGATTGCTCTCTATCAGCGCTTGTGGGAGGAGCAAGCTGGGTTTCACTGCGGAAGATCGTGCAGCGAGCAGATCTTTCCTTCGAAATATCTTCGAACAATGCGTTGAGTATCGACACCCATCGGCCATCAATTTCATTGATTCAAGAAGGCTTTTGACAGTGTTCACCGCGAGTCCCTGTGGCGGATCCTGCGATTATATGATATAACGACAAACTTTGTCACCATTTTCAAGGCCTTATACTTGCATTCGAGTTGTTGCGTCAAGACTGAAGATGGTCATACGGACTTCTTTAAAATTACAACAGAGTCAGGCAGGATTGTGTCCTGTTCCCTTTCCTCTTCCTTATCGCCCTTGATTATGTCACGCGGCGGGCAGAAGAGTCCGGTGCGCGCATTGAGAACAGCATGAGCAGAATCGTCTTGGAGATTTGGTTTTTGCTGACGATATTGCCCTATTAGAGGAAAGCGAATCAATGTTACAGCAAGCCACGGCCGCATTGGGTCGGGAGGCATACGAAATTGATCTCAGGATAAACGCTGTGAAGTCGAAAATTATGCATGTATGTAACAATGCCCAAACACGGGGAGTTATTGTCAGAGCACAATGATTGGAAGAGTTAAAGTGATTTACCTATTTCGGGGGCCCACCAGTGACCAAGTGGTTCCGTTCCCTGAACACTGAGAGTTCGGTCGTACGTTCGCGCCTCGCCAGGGAGGGTGGCAACGTGGAGTTTTCCGCATTTTCTCCACGTCTGTAATGCCTGAATAGGAGCCAGTTATCCTTTAAAAGATTTCTCGGAAAGCATCCTCCCCTAGGCAGATCGCCCAAGTGTTGCGTTGCCGTAACTTAACAACAGCAACAATCTACTTGGATAGTGGAATTTCCCAAAATAGCGACGCAGAATGAACGTGAAGTGCCCGCATCGGAAAAGCGGAGACCATTTTCTGGCAGATGAACAAGATCTGGTCCACACCATCCATCTCATTAAGAACCAAATTCCGCCTGTTCACCTCCATCGTGATTCCGATAGCTATTTATGCTAGTGAGTCCTGGAACACATCGGGAAATATCAATAGAAAGCTCGATGTCTTTCAACGGCGATATCTACGACGAATCCTGAATATCCGATATTTAGATCATATCACCAATTAAGAGGTTCTTCGAAGGAGTCGGATGTGCAAACTTCATAGCATTGTCGCCCGTAGAAGAGTCCGACTGGCCGGCCACATTTTTCGTATGGAGAAGAATAGGATCCCTAAGACAGCCATGAAATGAATTCCGCTGGTTCCAAACGACCACGAGGACGCCCCAGGAATACTTGGCGTAAAACTTTTCTTCAAGACTTGAAGAAGCTCAATATGACGTGGGAGGAAGCTGAAGCCCTCGCCCATGATCGAAATCGATGGAAGATACTTGTTGCCCGTTATGGTACTTAACATTGGAGGAACTACTACTACTACTACATTAGTTTCCTGAAAGTTTCTTCTTGGTCAACGATAACGGCGGTAATCTCGATGACACGCTTCGAGCAAGAATAAAGGCTCATCCATCCAGAAAAGAAGGATTAAGTACACATCGCTAATTCAATGTTGCACACAAGAACATAACTGTTGTATGTTTTTGTGTATAACATTGAATTACTGATGTGCATTTAATCTTCCCTTTCTGAATAATTCTCTTTTCATCAACAAGATCGAGAAACCTTTATTCTAAAGATATCCAATAATTCAATTGAAATGCTTCGGTTTTCATATAATAATTATGCATTCATATAATTAACTGATACATCTACTTGATAATAAATTTACATATTTTTTAACAGAGAAACAGAAAGCAATACCTTGCAGTCGTCCTTTAGGTTTAAGGTTCGATGCCAAAGGTACCTTATACGTAGCCGATGCTCAATTAGGACTTCTACAAGTTGATATTAAGAAAGGTATGGAACACTTACATTCGTTATTATTATTATTATATTATTCACATACAACTATTACAATACTGTTGATTTAACTGTATAGGAACAGTCACAACTCTCGTGAGCACTGGCGAAAAGGTAGAAGGAAAGGAACTAATGATTCCAGATGATGTAGATGTGGATGAAAACGGTGTTATATACTTTAGTCACGTGTCCACTAAATGGAAATGCGACACTTTCTTTTATAGCATGCTAGAACACGAAAATACTGGCAGGTATAATTAAAGTTTCGTTACGACAATACGTTGTTTACTACAGTGGTACCTCAGGTTACGAACGCCCCAGCATACGAAATTTTCAGGATACGACATGAAATTCGAACATATTTTTGCTCCACGATACGAACAAAAACTCACCATACGACGTTACATTAGTTCGCATTTTTCATTTGTTTTTCTTACTACAGTTATTTTTTAATGTATTACTTGGCTTTAATTTGAGTATGTTTTTCGCGTTGTG